TTTATTAGAATCCTCTACAGATCCGTGTACAAAATGGGCACTCGAGTTCATGTGGATTGGGTGATTAATAGGTCGATAAGGATTAATATACTTATTGACAATGCAAATTGGGATGAGGGATTAAGCCTCAATGAAGGGCAAAGAGAAATTGTCCAATTAGGTAAATTAAAGAACTAGTTTTGAGCAAATTGTGGACGATATATTGTGTAAGAGTTTTCTGTCCCACCTTTGCTCACAATTAGTGAGCGAAGAGTTTTCTTCAGCATTCAAGTCCTTTTCAAAAATAAACTTACACTGTGAGTTTTGCTGATTTATTTTTGTGGCATTTGCACTTGAGCGTTTAAATCTTCCTTCAGAGGTGGTCGAAACGATAATCACAGATTAGGTCGGCAACAACTGAGAGGTTCCAGTGTATTGCAATCTCCATTGGATATGAAAAATCAAAGGCTTGGAAAAAGCAGATAATGAAAGTTGGCACTACTGGCACCCACAAACAGCCCAGCACAGAGACCCTGCAGGGTGGTGGCTGAGAGCAGAGAGCAGCAGACAGGCTGCTATCTACCTTTAGACTTGTTCCTCATTTGTAAAACAGGGAACATACCTACAGTATTATGAGCACTGCTTACCTCATAAGGTTCCTATGAGTGCAGAACAGGTGCTGGACAATGGAAAGCTACATTGTCATTATTAAAATGCAGAAGATTGAGCAAATATTCAAATACGCAATTAATCCTCAACTTTGAGTCTTTGAGTCTTTCCTGGATCCAGTGAAAAAATCTTAAATAGTGGTCTTGGATGATATTTTCCTAAGAAAAAATAAACCCTCCATTTCCTAAATTATCTGAAGTTCCAAGTAAATCCATAGTAACATTAACCTCATCCTCCATCTGTTTTCTGATACTTTTTCTAAAGTCTGTAACACCTCCTCTAGGGCTGCAGTATTTTATTAATTAATTTATTTTCTCATAGTGGTGTGGTACAATGAGGAGTCTCTATAATAGGATTTTTTATTGAAGGGAAACGTGGCCAATGGTAAATAAGGTTGATAGACGATTGGGAGAACTTGTGTGATTTAGGGGAATTATGTGGGGGATTGGGATTAATTGGGGTTCCAGTTTCTGCTATGCTATTAGATATGATTTGGGGTAATTTATTTATTGCCCTTGACCCTTGGTTTCTTTATCTTCGGAAATGGGAATGATAGTAATACATGCTTCATAATGATCGAGAATGATACTGAACAATGCTAAGGCCCCGTATATATGTGCTAATAACTGATAATCATTATAATTAATTCATTTTTTTCTTTCTTTCTTACCCTTGGTTAATATTTTCATAATCCATAGCTTTTCTGTGTAAAGTGGATCTTGAAGGGGGAAAAAGGAATACAAGTTATGATTTCCTTTTGCTCACAGATTAAAGTAATACCTCTAGATCAGAGTGTTTCTTCTATCCACCCATCCATGCATCCATGTACCTTCCATTGACTGTACACTAGCCATGTGCTATCCTTGTGATATGCAAAAAGGTTATAAACATCAGGGTCCTGCTTTCTCAGACTTCTGAATATGTGGAGGTAGAAGAACTCAGCTCAGCTTTTCCGGGTACTCAATGTCTCCTTAAACCCAAACAAGAAGTAGAAAAACTGAAAAATATTAAGAATTAATTCAGGTGATGTATTCTTTTGGACAGTTTCCAAGCAGGGTAATTATCTAAAAGCAATCTGATATTATATCTCCAGCTTTCCATGCTTGTTAAAATAGTTTTCTTGCTGAAATACTCAATGAGCTAAATTCCATCTAACATCTGGGCATTGTCTAAATAGAGCAATGAAAATATGTCTTGTTGCTTACACACTGGGTATAAATTTCAGAAATCCAATTAGTGTTTTATTCTTTGTGTGTATTTCTCTTTTTCTTTGGTGTTTCAGCTAATTTTGGGATCTTACCTGCAAGTATAAGAATTCAAATATTTACCATACAATCATGTAGCAAAAACAAAAACAAAAACAAAAAAAAACCTAGATTGAAGAATAGTGTTTTGCGGCATTTCCTAATGATTGTAAGACAGTCATTAATTTCTTTATCCATACAACAAGAACTTATTTATTTTTATTTTTGTCTTTTGGGTAATTGGCATTTTACCACTGAACCATAACCCCAGCCTTTTTTTTTTTTTAAATTTTGTATTTTAAGACAGGGTCTTGTGAAGTTATTGAAATTATCACTAAGTTGCAGAGGCTGGCCTTGAACTTGTGATCCTCCTGCCTCAGACTCCCAAGTTATTGGGATTATAGGAGTGTACCACCACGCCCAGCAACAAGAACTTACTGAGTGAAATGTCAAGCCTCAGTGACTAAGGCTGGGCATGAGAATGGGAAAGACAATAAAACACAGTGTTTTATTAAGGATACACAGTGTATCCTTAAGGAGTATAGACTCTGGCGAAAGAGACAGATACTTACACGAATAACTTCACTCCAATATCACAATGGCTGAGAGGTACTGGCTCCTAGGCATCATTGATACTGCGTCGGATAGGTTGCACCTTACATTAATGATTATCCTCGGTCCTTTACTGAGCATCTATAACCTCTCAAAATTGAGAAGGCCCTCAAACCAAGAACCCAAGAGGGAAAACCAGTACTCATGGAGCCTACATTATCCATCTGGGTAGGCAGAATCTGCCAAGTGCCCTGCGGATGGATCATTTATTTAGCGATACTAGCAGCACTTGAGTTTTCACTCTTAGGCTCATTGAAATGATAGTTGATATCCCATGGTCCATTTTGCATAGATGCAGACATCCTGAATTAAGCCTGCGAAAGCATAATTTTCGCTGACTATATCAGGGCCTACCACAGTGTGCACTCTGCAGGCTTTCAAAAAACTACATTTGATCTTGTGGATTCTGCCACCATTTCATTTGGTGCTAATTACACCCAAATACCTAAACCTCCTATTTAGTTTAAAGGAATCTCATCAACTCTAACTTGCAAAAACTACGAATGGATTTTCGAACACCATCAGACACAAGTCTACCTTTAAAACATTTGAAAGTTTATTTGCACAAGCTGAGTAGTACGAGATGCAACATGATTTGTGGAAGTCAACCACCATGCTATCATTTTAATAGATTATTCCAAATATTAGACATTACAGTTGAAATCTTTTTAACATTAGTTCTAATGTTGGAATAACATTTCAGTTAATAAATAACTGTGAATATAACCATATGTTCAGTCTATTCTCCTTACTTCATTGTGAATTACAATTTTATTGTGATTGGGGTCATAAAAGTGATAAATAATTATGTATATATTCATAAATTGCATGTTGATTTAATTAATCCTGAAGAAAATCTTGAGATACATCCTAATGGTTGTATAAACTAGGTGTAGTTTTTAGCGCTTTGATTTGCAACATAAACAGGTAACGCTGTAACTGCTTTTCAACTTAGTGTTCACTGCACATACTGTATAATATTTACCTGATATGTATTTTCACAGGCTATCAGTAGCCATTTGGAAAAGTGAGTGGCCACGGTTTTTGATTCTTGAATTAAATGACTTCTATTTAATTCAATTTGGAATCACAGGGTTCAAAAGTCAGCGCCGTTTCAGTGATTGGAAAAGTATTCAAACACAAATGCAAGCTCACAAAATTTGAGGTAAAGAAAGTGATTCTTGATACATTATACTTTCCAGAGTATAACCACATTTTCCAGATAACTTTCATGCCATTAACATATTAGGGAAGATACAATTACCATCAGGTATAAAATATTCTGAATTCATATATTATATGGTGCATAGGCAAAGAATTTATACTGGCTTTTGTATTTTTTGGATGAGGTTGTCTGCTCAGCCCAGACTGCCGTCTTCAGTTGTTACAGAGGCAGTTTATCTGTGTGGGGATGGTATCCACATGCTGCCACAAAGGACCTTGCCAGGATTAATTTTAGCATTTGCATTTGTTATTTCATTTTGGAGTTTCCCTATTGTTATGGAGTTTCAACCAATGCACATGTTGCCTGGATTCGTGGTCTAGAAGAATATTCTATGCTGTTTGGAATCAGAACTCCAATAAAACAGACAGCTCATTTCCATCATATGTATTTTCCAAATATTTCTAATCTTGTAAAATCTTAACACTGGGCAGCAGCTCTAAGTGGTGCCTCTGAGCTACAGCAGAAAAATGCTCATGAGAACTTATGGAAAGTGTCAAATGACAGGAACAACTATTTAGAGGCCAGAAAATAGTTTCTTCCAAGTATAAAAAGCTTAGGACTTTGGAAAGAAAATGTCAGCTTCAACAGGGGGAAATATACATTCACAATTTGAGCTCTTAAGTTTTTAAGAAAGCCTCAAAAACTTAAAAAAAAGAAAGACTCTGTTTTTTTTTTTTCCCATTTTGATCAACTCTGCATTTTCAGTGTAGGGAGCACCTTCTGATTTGGGGGTGTTTGTGTGCTCTTCCCGAGGGAAGAGGCAGTTGGCATTGTTCCATGGCTGGGTATAATTCATTTATGTCTTCCCGTTTTTTTTTTTTCTCTCTGATCTCTTCCCTCTGTATCTGTCAGCTGTAGTCTCTTGGGAACAGCACTATGCACTTCATTAATAAGAAGGGATTAAAGGAAAAAGCCCGTAGTCTGCTAATACACTTGGATAATTTGGTGCCATCTACAAGGCAGCAGACCCCTGCTGCATAGATGTCATTAGAAAGGTACAATTTCATTACTTTTTACTGGCAGAGCCTTGAGTGAAATACAAAATATGTTGTCTCACATGCAGGGAAAAGGAGCACATAAGCTTTCATTCACTTCCTACCCTAAATGTAGTAGAATGCAAAAAACACTTTATGATTTCCATGTTGATATTGCCTTACTTCAGTAATATAGGGAATCATGCTTTTATTAAACATTGAGCAAAATGAAGATGAAAAGGAAATTATTTGCATTCTTAAGCCCCATATGAGATTTATACCTTTTTATTAATTCACACACATGTTTTGAGTACCTACTATGTGTGTGGTGCTCTGCTAGCTKCTAGGAAACAAATTACAAAAACATCATTCACTCTTCTATTTAAATCCCTAACTTATTGAATGCCCAAATTGGAAGTGAGTGTAAAAGTAAGTGCACATGTAGTAAGCCATATGGCAGAATAAAAATGATAATAAACCAGTATTTTGTAAGCGTATTCAGAAATCTGTTTATTCCTTGTTAACTAAATTTATTTTTGAACTGACATGTTTGCTGATGGTTGGTATTACCTTTTGAACCACCCTGATCTTAAATCTTTAGTGGTAAATTGTGCAAACATTTGAAATAATGGGCATAAGCCACCTTTGGGAGATTTGCACCCTGGTTTCTATGTTGCCACCCTGTCCCTGGCATAGTGTGTGGTGTGGCCCTGCCCTGTGCCCCTGAGGAAAGGACCTGTGCTATAGGCACCTGCTGTGAAATATGCCAGGGGCACTTGCAGGCATCACACTGGCTTGGGGACGCTGGGGGGAATCTTGAGCATCACTCTTTCTTAGCACCAAAGAGAATCAGGTTTAATAGTGGTCCATTATCTCGCAGCCACAGACACACAACTGCCATTAACACTAAAAGGAGACACCCATGGTTGGAACTATCTTGGGAGAAGAAAGCCCTTGGTTAGGAGCTATTTACAAGCCATTCCTCGCAGTGATGGGTCTTTGCTTTTCTACTACTAGCTTTTGTTCAGTGAAATTGACATTTGCTGCTCTTTGTCGAAGATGAAGTCTAGACTAGACAGTTAAGAGGATAGGAACTGGGGTTTTCAGAGAACATTCTATGAACAAAAAGCAAAGAAGTGCAGGAAAAACAAATTATTTTTAACAAGTAAACTGGTCAGTAATAAAAATATATTAGTGACATCTTAGGTACAATATCTCTACAAATGAGAGGTTTGTCAAATAGCTTTGAAAACTAACTGTTTAGATGTTGTCACCTTCCTATGCTGCCGCCATGTCCTGCCTTGTCTGTCATACATTTTAATTCACTCAAATATCATTGCACTTGCAGTAAAGATTATGAAGAAATGTCACAAGAAGTGAGGGAGCAGCAGAGTTGGGCCTGGGCGGAACAAATCCACATTTTCTAGAGTGAGCAGGACTCAGGACTCATAACCAAAAAAATACCAACTAGTTAAGTTCTTGTTGTCAAAACTTTGTCTCTGCTAATGTTTACATAGAGATAATCAAAATTACAAACAAAACCCCCAGTTTTACCAATAAACTAAAAAAAAAAAAAAGCAAAGTGGTTTAGTGGTTAAAAGTTTAGATTGTTAACCTTGTGTGGTGCATTTGAGGATGTGCACTGAAAACAGATCAACCATTTGATACCAGAATACAGATTTCCTTTTGCCTTGTGATTTTTGCATGATGATAACTTTTCCCCACCCCCATTAAGATTTCATAAATATGCTTGTTCTGAATCCAAATAGGTGTCTCTTATGGTTGGGATGTTTTATTAGATGAAACTAATAAATATGCAGGATTTCAGAATATTTTTCTTTTCCAATTTCTGGACTTTAGTTCCACATTACCTTGGATACTGAGGAAGAGGAAGGATTATAATAAATTGGAGTTGGGTTTGAAAGTCAGTATTTGCAATATGAATGGAAACAATTAACAATGATCCTTGTTAATATCCTTTTGCTGAGGTAGTTTATAAATAAGAGATTGCCCATAAAAAAAAAACAACTTGATGTATTTTATCTCAAGTGTGCATGACCCTGTGACATTCTACATTTTGTCATTATTCAACTCAATTTAATGGAATAAATTCAAGTGAGAATTGTCAATATCAAGTTCTGGTAAAGGAGAAATAATTTGATAGGTGTGTCTATATATTTTGTAAGGCAAGACTTAGCCCAATCTTGATATACATTTTAAATAGGTTATTAATGAAAGTTCAAAAAACTCTATACCTAGGTAAGCTAGATATATAGTTCCAAAAAGTCGTCTTTTTTTTGAAATTCACAATAGATTTCTTCCTTTCCTCCTTGGTAAATAACGAAATATTTATTGTTTAGACTGAGTAATATGACATGAAATAACAAATCTGCACATGTCTAATTTATAACAAATCTGTCTCCTTAATGGGTGKAAGGAAATCTGAGGACCGTTCTAAGGGTTCTCTTCTGCTTTCAGTGCTATCTTCTAGTCATACTGAAGACAATACCTCTCCAGATGGGTCTTTCCCTTTCTTCTCCTCTCCCCGGTCAATGTCAATCACATGTACCACTCCAGGTTTCAGAATCAAGTCCTCGGTCTCCACCTGACTCCTGTTGTCCTCCACTTCCATATAGCTTCCTTTTGTTTGCTGGGCAGCTTTGCTGAAGGCTTCCTTAAAACGACGTTTGAGTTCAACATCTGGACAGAAGACATATTCATAAAGACCACCAGCGAGGACAGCTCCTATTATTGGTCCAACCCAGTATATCTGGGGGAAAGAGGGAAAAGGATAGAGTGTGAGTAAAGAAAGCTTTTCTGTTGAACAACTCATGAGTACAGAATTCAGCTGGGTTAAATTAAAGAGAGAAAACGTGTCATACATAAAAATGAGGGGAATTTACAAGGAACAAAGAACATACGCCCAATCCACAATGGAAATTCATACATTATTAAATAACATTTGAACGGAAGACAAAATTTATTTCCTCTCTTGTCTTCCTTTCATTAATTGTATTTTCCCATCTTCTGATAATTGTTTAAATAAAAACACTAGGAATCGTTCAACTAAATTAGAAAAAAAAAAAGGAATTTCTGGAGAGTACTTCTCTTATTTACTCAGTATTGCCCTCCTACTTTGGTTTTCCGCATAATCAAGATCATAGTACAGTTTAAATCTTTGGGGGCTTTAGTTATTCAGTAGAGCATGGCAAATAGAATCCCAGTTCTATCACTTAGTAATTTTGTGAGTGCTTACATCTGTGGCTTAATTTCTTATGCCTTAATTTCCTCATCTGCAAATCGGGGATTATACTAATATAGACATAATGTGAAGATTAAATGAAATAATCCTGATAAAGTATTTAATAGGTCCCAGCTTATAGTAACCAGCACCATCCTATGCTTCTTTGATAATTTAAAGATGTAGGCGACTATACTGGTTATGTTATTATTTTCCTCACATTCCTTACTTTTTCTCTTTAAAATCCAGCGATTTGATTTAATAAAAAACCCCATGGTTTATTCATTTCTCTTACTGTAGAGAGTTCTCCTTTCCATGGTGGCTTGGTGAATAGAGACTGTATTTATGGATGATAGCTAGTCACAGTCGAGCAATTTTGCAGAAATGCAGTAAATGAAGCTTTTATCATATCACTTATATGCCTTGAATAAACTAAGTTTTGAGTCTGAATGAACCACAACAATTGTTTCAGAGTACAGATATGTTGTAGGATATTAGAGGCACTTTCAACAGGTTCACTTAGAAAACAAATCCTGTTGGTTGAACCCTCTTTCTGAGCTGCTGTAATTGGCACTTTTCTTGTATCACCTCATTTAATTCTAACAGTAACATTTGAGATAGATTTTACTATTAATATCTGCATTTTATAGAGAAGACAACAGACAGTCTGAGAGGGTAAGAAACTTGCTGAAGATTTCAGGCTTAGCAAGTGGTTGAGCTATAATTTCAGGTCTAACTTCAAACCTCTCTTTTGAACCATTATACGGTTTTCTACTCTACAATACTTCTTTCACTTGAACAAAAATGTGATAAATGTTTCTTGCTTAAAACAGCCTCTGGAAATTAATCATTCTTAGCAGCCTCCTTGTAAAATCTAAAGAAAATTCAAGCTTTAAGCTGAGACTGAACACATGTTCTTAACAGGGAAACTGTTGCCTAGATTGACTAGAAGAACCAAGCTCCTTATCCTGAATGTGAAAAGCCTGTGGGTGACTTTATCTTCTACATGCCCTCTAAAGGAGAAATGAGAGACCTCCGCTCAATGTCTTTGCTCTTTGTTCCTTGGGCAAGATCTCATTAGATTAGTACCAGTTCAAGGCTCCAAATCCCACAGGAGAACAGGCAATGCTAAATAATTGCTACTGTTTCCCAAAACACCTATGAAGGGCACAGCTAGCTGCATGTTCTCAAAAGTAAACACATCTCAGTGCTAAGTCACTATTCCAAAATGAAGGAATATGTACTTTAAAGTGATTTTTTAAATTTCGCAGGTTTTTTTTGTGCAAAAAATATAGAAAATATGTAGAAGTATAAAGAAAACTAAAATTATGTTGTTATACAAAAATCCCAGTTTGTAATTTGATGGTATTTCTAGTCTACAAAAGTACCTTAAATTGATTTTAAATTTCACATAACCACTTCTATAAGTGGACATTCATTTTTAGTAAGATTGATGTCATAAAATAGCAAATCTTTTGAGATGGAAATGGAAATATCAGTGGCAAAATGACCAATCTTTTTTTTTTAAAGGGGGGAGAGAGAGAGAGAGAGAGAGAGAGAGAGAGAGAGAGAGAGAGAGAGAGAGAGAGAGAGAGAGAAAGAGAGAGAGAGAGAGAGAATTATTTATTTTTTAGTTTTCGGTGGAACAACATCTTTTTATTTTTTTACATGTGGTGCTGAGGATCGAACCCAGTGCCCCACACATGCCAGGTGAGCACACTACCACCTGAGCCACATCCCTAGCCTGACCAATCTTAAAAATGGCATTGTTGGCCAAGTCTTTGCATGGTCATGTCCAAAATTCTGCTTTTGAACACTAGCTCTCATATTGTTATTTAATATTACAAATTACTTTTTAAAACTCTGTACACTTTTTATAAAGCAAATACATGTAGCAACTGTGCAATATTTTCTTCTTTGCAATGTTACACCACAGTGGAGTGGGTGTGACTAGGTCAGTAACCACCATATGCATAAGATCAAAACCCAAATAACATATTCTGCTATATTCATGAATTTTTTTAAAAATGTAAAATAATATTGGCAACATATGAATGACAATAAATGTCTCAATTTAGGTTGGCTTACAAACGTCTCTATTTATATTGGTTATTCTGAGTCAATGTATGAATGGCTTTCATGAAGGCCTCATGACTCACTTACTGGATTTAAATTCCTTTGCTGTAAATTCCAATGGAAACAAATTTGATCATGGTATCTACATATGGAGCTCACAATTCTTTGGAACCATTGCCACCTCATTAATAAGTAGGTTAGACTTGAGATTGAAAAGCGTGCCTTTTCTGAGAGTCATTTATTTTTCCAGCTATGATTATGGTGATAATAGCATAAACATTTGTACCATTTATTCTGCACCATCTGTAGTTCAAGTGCTTCCAACTCGCATACTATTAATTGGGTTATGCTTTTGTAAACAAAAAAAAGGTAAATATTTTTGATAAGGATGGTGCTTTTAAATATTTCTTTCTTTTTAATTTTTCAAATAAATTTATTTGCTGTTATTTCTGGGAACGCTTTTCTTTCAATTATTTAAACACCATATTTATCACACCATTCTCATTCTAATTTGTTCCACATAGGCGACCTCCCTGTGCGGTGTATTCTGCTGCAGCCTGTCAGATACAGTGCTCAGACTAGCATTCAAAAGAAAGATTATTACTGCAAGCCCAGAAGAGATATAAGATGAGATGTTTTGCAGCAGATCTGTGCTAAACTTTCTTTAGTCTTTATGAAAGATGCAATAAAGCCAGAGTCAAAGTTGGGGGAAATGCAACAGAAACAAGTGAGTCAGATAATGAAAAAAGAAAGCCTCGTGGATAATTATCCTCAACTCTAAGAAGACAGGAATTGTACACATGATGGTTACCCAGTGGTTTTCCCAATTTCCCATGATAACTGCAGGTCCAAAGGATCGGGCTGGATTCATACTGGCACCAGTGTAATTGATCTATAGGAAAAAAAGAAAGCAGGGTCAGACATAGCTGAAAGAAGGCTGCAAGCAGGTGCAATTTGCTATATTATTTGTGGAGTCAGAAGAACTTCAAGATGTTAGCTACTACATCAACATTCTCATCACATAGTAGGCAAAAATGACCACCTAAAATGGACAAGGCAGGATTCTAAAGAGCTATAGCTGTAAAACACAACCTCTTTGGGCCAGCTCTAGTGTGAGGATAAATGAGATGGATCAATTATTTAAATGGACTTGGAAACTTACTGCAAATAAGTGTCCAATTGCAACAGAAAATCCAATTGCTAAAGCTATTGAACCAGTGACATCAGTCCGTTTGGAATCACAGCTGGCAAAAATAGTAAACACCAACTGAAATGTGATTATCAACTCCACCAGGAGACCGTGACCAGCAGTAAGATTTCCATGAACCTGAAGAGAGAAAAACATTTCATTGGAAGTGAAGCAAGAGTACATTTCTCTGACTACAAATCATTATGAAAGGCATGTTCTTTTCCGTATAGAAAATAATTGTTAATTTGAATCTTCTACCCCATCTCCAGTGGAGACCTCTGACCTTTCCCTCTTCCAAAAAGAAGGAATCAATTTACACTCATTTTGGGCTGTTGAAGATAATTACTTTTATAAAGACTAAGTAGGAGTTTGTGCTGAATTTTCTTTTCTACAAAGGAAGCTAAATGTGCCATTGCTGCACTTATTAAAGACTTTCATGAGAGACAATTTTATTAGCAATGATTAAATCCATTTATTAAGTTTAAATGAATTAATATATATCTCAATTAAACTTAAGGAGTGTGTGTGTATATAAAATCAACCTTGGTTCTGAGATAACAAATGCTATTCCTAATCAGTGAAGAACAAAACAAGGATCAGATGTCAATTTGCTTTTGTTTTTGTTTTTGGTACCAGGGATTGAACTCAGGGGCGCTCAACCACTTAGCCACATCCCCAGCCCTTTTTTTTTGTATTTTATTTAGAACAAAGTCTCATTGAGTTGTTTAGCGCCTCGCTTTTGCTGAGGCTGGCTTGGAACTCTCGATCCTCCTGCCACAGCCTCTCAAGGTGCTAGGATTACAGGTATGCGCCACTGTACCTGGCTCAATTTGTTTTTTTTAAGTGTGACCCTTCATGGAGATCATTTTAAATCTCATGAACATGAAATAAAATAATTTCTTCTGCAACCGAATAAACAAATAATTGTAAATGCCTGAAGATAAATATATAATCAGTACAGATATCTGGATAGAGAGAGAAGAAAAAACCCAAATCATGGTTGTGCTCCCTAGACTCGGCTATTTTCAAGTCATTCAAGAGCTATCAATTTTATGAATGTCTCTTGGCCATTAGGGTGTCATTCATCAGAGTCTGAAAGCACCGTGGAGTCCTAGTCTGCAAAGAAGAGTTTAAGAGACTACCGTGGTGACTCCCAGGCCTCCCACCACACTGGGAGGTGTGACCAGGTAGAGAATCCCCGCTCCAATGATGGCCCCCAGGCACTGGGCTGCGATGTAGAAGACGGACTTGGCGATACTGATCTTCCTGGTGCACACCATGGCCACGGTCACAGCAGGGTTGATGTGGCCACCGCTGATATGGCCAAAGCACTGCACCATGGTGGCAATGCTGAGTCCAAAGCAAAGGGAGATGAGAACCATGTCCACAGGTAAGGGCTTCTCGGCTCCACCCCAGTTGATGGTGGAGCCCAGGCTGAGCAGGACAAAAATCAGCATGGCCAGAAATTCCGCTGTGACTGCTTTCCAGAAAGCTTGAGTCCACACCCCCTTGAAAGCCACCATGATGCTCTCTCTTCTACACAGAGGTCCACACTTACTGAAAGGAAAAACAAACGGGAGTCAGAAGTCACCAAACCAGCCTTTTGGTTGGAGGAGTTTATAAATTTAGAGGTGAGGGGCAGGGCCCGTAGTCTTGCGGAGAGGGGCTGCCAACCTTTATTGGCAAACCAAGAAAGAATGCTTCTAGAAAATCTCTGTGATGGTCAAGTTCTCCTTATTCTAGTCTCCTTTGATTTAATGTTCAAATACTCTTCATTTGCATTATTCCTAGAAAGGAAACTGTCTAAATTCAAAGTTCCTTAAAAGGTTTTTTTTTTTTTTTTTGGTACTGGGAAGTGAACCCAGGGGGGTTATACCACTGAGCTACATCCTCAGCCTTTAATTTATTTTTTTTATTTTTTATTTTGAGACAGGGTTTTCAGGTTAGCCTTGGACTTGCTATCCTCCTATCTCCGCCTCCCACATTGCTTAAAATATTAAGAATAAAATAGTTAATTCCCTTAGACAAAATTTAAAATTTGTGCTACCTGTATGCTATTTATATTCTGAACATAAAGCAGAAAACCAGGCAAGTCTATTTTAGCTTTGTACTTTGTAGCTTCAAGATGACCTTTGGAGACGGGTTTGTAGAGCGGTCCCGCCTCCTCCTAGCAGGTGGATTTAGGGGAGGCCAGCTAGGGAGCCAGGACTGCCTAAGACCGTGTTTTGAGAGGTAAATTAGTGGAAGGAGAAGGTCTCAGTAAGGTGACTGGCATCGTGGTGCGAACAGACCAGGCCTGGCTGGGACAGGGACACTCCCTCCCTCCTCTTTCCTGCGCCAGGAGGGAGCCGGCTGCCAGCAGGAGGAGCCGGGGAGCCTGGAGTGGAGCCTGCCGAGGGACACTGTGCATGAGAACGTGACAACCCAGGCCCCAGGGGAGCCTGGATCGCCTCTCGCAGGGCGGGGTCGCGGCCAAGTGAACCTGCACACGCCTTGGGTCTGCAGGGACCGGTGCAGAGGCAAGGGGAAGTAGGGGGTGACGATGCTTTTGAAAGGTTAGGAGAGGACTGGCAGCCCCTCCTAGTGTTCCATGTCCCCCTCAGGTAACCCAAAGGGGCTCCTGGCGGCTGGGAACGCAGAAAGCTGCTCTCTGGTTACCTGGCTGCCCGCAGGGGGCAGAGCTCAGAGCTCAGGACTAGGAAAAGGGGGTGTGGCAGGGGACACYGGTCTTCGGAGCAGAAGGCTCTAAAGAAAGAATTTTTTTTTTTCCTGGGGTCTTCTTGACATCCAGCCCTCTCTGGCAAAAAGTGTCAGAAGATACCCCTTTGGGAGGACAGTAACCTCAGTTACCCGGTTAGCTGACACATGTGCTCTTCTCCCTCACCTGTGATAACCATGAGAGCAAAAAAGTATAGGAAGCATTTAGCAAAGAATCTAACCACAGAGGACAGCAAAGGGTTAGGCAAAGATGCCCAGTACTTACAAGAGATTAGAACTTTTACAGCTTCTCCCCCTGATACATGGTGGGTTCCTAATATCTCCCCCCCATCACTTAGTGTCCCCAGGAGCCTGTGTTCTGTGAAGGCAGTAAGGAAATAGGCAGCAGATGGGGTTGGGGGGGGGGACTTTCCCTTCACCTTTAGCACCTCCCCTCAGCCTCTGATTTGATATGAGGCTTTGCTTCCAACTTGGAAAAAGAAACCCATTATCTGCCCAATTCTGGGTGGCAGGATAAAGGAAGGACTGACTTCAGAAAGGGAAGAGCCAGCCATACCCCAAGCGTCCCTTGCCCAGGTGAGTTCCTCTAAGTGAATCCTGTAATTATGAAAAAACCCTGCTGGGATGACACTGACATTACCCTCCCTAGAGGAAGAGAATGTCAGGAGATGAAAACAGCACTGGGGACGGGCCAGCGAGGGCACTCTAGGAGAGGCATGAAAGCTGTCCCACAGGGGGAGAAGCTCAGAGAACTCACAAACTGAAAAGGCAGTCGTGAGAGTCACGTTGGAACTCACCAGCAGCTGGATGACCAAGGGGCAAAGGTGCTACCCCAGGTGCTGTCCTGTGTGGCCGGACTGAATGGGAGAAAAGAAGGGGACAGAGCAGGAAGCGAAGGGAACTGGGTGAACAGGAAACAGTCCCTTTTCAACAGTGCAGGCCAGCACCCAGGAGAGGCGGTCCTGGAGAAGGCCAGCCTCCAGCCTCCAGCGACACCCCTTCACCCCTTGCTTCAGCCCCTCCAGGAGTTCTGTCCCTGCTCATGCACACACCTGTCTACCTCTCCAGGGACTTAATTTTAAAAACTCAGTGGCTTTTCCAGCTTCTAATTTTCATCAGCCAGAGAAATTAAAAAACGCCACACTCTAAGAACAAAACATATACTCCTTAAGGGTGCTTTCAGCCTTTTTTTAAAAACAGAAAAACAAAAACAAAAACAAAAATAACACCCCCCACCACCACCACAAATCTGATCTCCTTCTAGGCAGAGTAAGCAGCCTCCGTTGGCTGGGAACCCTAAGGTTCACTGGCATGTATGCACCTGTGGCCTTGCGAGGGCTCTCCAGTGTCACTCAAACCCCCTTTACGATCATTAATGTTCTCTTACAGGTTCACGCTCACTGGAAATGGATCAACACAATTTGCTTTGCTTCTTTTGCCCCAGAACAAAGAGGACTTGTTGATGTGACCGGGTGGTAGTGAACCGGACACATTACTCTCTAGTTGAATGCCCAGCCTCATCYGCTCCTGGACAGCTGAATCCCCGGGTAAGTAATTTTTCTGATGAAAAAAATACAGACAGATTTACCTCCAGAGAGTAATTTCTCCGTGCTCTCACAAAGCTTTCAGTGGAGAATTTGGCTAAAAGGCATCCCTTTTCTTCTACCTTCTCTCTCCTCCTCTTCTGATTTTGCTCAGTGCTCAGACTTAAAAGAACCACCCGTCTACCTTAGAGCTGCCTTCTAGATTCTACATAAGGAGGCACAGATATCTGCAACAAAAGAGTTTCATCTTTTGGCCCTGCACATTGTTGCCTTAAGGCAAAGAAGGACTTACCCCCACCGCCTTGCTGCGGGTCTGTCACTCATGCCTTCCCTGGCCAGAGTGCAGCTCTCATTGCCTGCCCCGCAGCTCTCAGTGTGCTAGGAGTCAGATTACGGCCACTTGTCTGATTGGGTTTTTGGAGTGTAGGGGTGGAAAGATTCTGCACCATGTGGCAATCGCTAAGTTATATTTGAACTTGAAATCAACTTCTCAGTACCTGATCACTATAGACACAGGAACGTTTCAGGAATGCAAAACATTTACTTACATCATGTTTCTTTAGCCAGTTATGGTTGCAAACAAAAAATTTCCCCAAACCTTTATTTGAAATCTTCCTGCCACAAAGAAATGCTGAAAATTTGTCTTGCTTGTTGTTATGTTGTAGTTGAATTTGGATACCTATCAGAAAATGGATTTGTATTTATCCAGGAGTTGAGATGAATTGCAATCTAGGTTTCTATGCATTTTTTTTAATTGAGTGTCAAATAGCCAATGAATTCTATTGGAAGTTTTTAATGTGAAAAGAAGCACAATATATAACTGTAACTCCATTTGTAACACAGGCAACATTGATTTAGATAATAAAAAAATAAGGCAAAATAGGAAATAATGAGACGGTTCCAGACTTCTCATCTGGATGCTATATTAATAATTTTGGGGTAAGAAGTAGCACATTTAAAAAATATAGAGACTGGATGGGGACAAAATGATGGAGGAATTGTAGGTAAATTCAATATTTGGAAACCAAGTATAAGGACTGACTATATAATTTGACGGTCCTGGTACAAAATGAATTGCAAGATTCTTTGCTCAAAAAATATGAAGGATTTCAAAATTGCAATAGCAGGACATTAACCAAAGTGTGGGACCCTTTTAATAGTGAGCCCAGTGCACAGGTCACATGCTCCTGAAAGTGACCCTGCCTAAGGAGCTTGAATTTTCAGAGGGTCCAACAATTAGCAGCACTTTTTTTTTTTTTTTAAATTGACCTCAGGTGGATAGGACTGGATTAATCATAATGCTCAGTTCATGCTGTCATCATGGGTGTGTGTTTGGCTATCTTAACCAAAAATGTGATAATAACACATTTTTGGTTAAGATAGTAGATAATAGATGATATCTATAGGTTCCTTTGTCTCTTCACCTACCACCTCATTTCAAATTGGATTWTTTTTTCCAGAATGAAGTATGATGAGGAAGAAATACAGAGGGAAGATGGATTATGCTTTAAAACCTTTGTTGTCTCATTTGTGTATTTAAGACAAGGACAATGAGTACAAAGTTCTCATTAGAATAGGGAATTAGAATGTTGAGTATGAATTTCAGAGGAGCACTTTATTCCCGTTTCAAGTATTCTCAGATAACAAAGATTGAGTTTACACTCTCTCTTTGTTTTCTCTTTTCAGTATTGGGGATTGAATCTTGAATCCAGCAGTGCTTGACCATTGAGCCATACACCCAGTACTTTTTATTTACTTTGAGAGAGGATCTCACTAAATTGTTGAGGCTGTCCTCGAACTTTTGATCCTCTTGCTTCAGCCTCCCTTGTCACTGGGATTATAGGCTTACACCACCACACCTGGCTGAGTTTATATTTTTAAGAATATGGTCGCACACTGATTATTGTGCATCAGTGTTTGCAGCCTTTAAAAAATATGCTCCCTGAAAGTTGAAATAAATTCTGATGAGAGGGGTGGGAAGGATTTATTTGAATCCAAGGACACTTGAAACGTTTCCTATTGAACCTTAAAACTGTTTACCATTTAGATTTAAGAACAAGATTTTAAAATGGTGCCCAATTTTTTAAATTTTATTTTTTTTTAAAAAAAATTTAAAACATTGACTTTGCAGGCAGTTGTGCTAAATGTAATTGCCTTAACCCTAAGAAGAAGAAGTCAGGAGTGTTTGTGAGGTCTTTGAACCCGAGGAACCACACAGCAGTGTTTAAGTGCTTCTTTTGAATGAATCCTGGGGTCAGGCCTACAGGAATCCATGAGGAGCGCTCTTCCTTAGCTGGTGAGTGGAGGGACATTCTTCCGGCCCTCTCTTTGCAGGATGCCCTAGGCTCATTGGTATTCTCCACAGGGCCATGGCAGCTCCAGTCACCCCTTTAAAAAGTGCCAGCAAAACTTGGTTACCACAGTTTCTCAGACTCTTTTTCATTTTATTTTTTTCCTGGCTGGCCAATATGTTGACAGTCCAGTTCCTAAGGGATGACTGTTCCCATCAAGGAAAGGGCCACCCTAATTGGCACCCACTCATACACTTATTGGTACTCCCAGCAGAGTGGGGCATACAGTCTTTCAGAGGTTAACTCTTCACCTCCTGGATGTGCTTTGTGTCAGTACCGCATTGCTGATTCACCTTTTTGTATTTGAGATGGAGTCCCCACTCTTCCTCTCAGCTCTGTGCAATAACCAGCTACTTGCCTGGCTTTCCTTCTGACGAGGGACAGTAATTTCCAACAGAACCGTCTGTGATGACGGATGGAGGATGGAAGAAAGCAGTTATAAGGTGCTCAGGTGGCTGGTGGGGCAGTGTGAGGTTGCGTCCTGGTGAATGTAAGTAATAGCTTCCAAGTTGAACTGCCTGCAACTGGGCCTCCACCCATATGAGAGTCAGAATCAATTTTTTTTTTACCCCTTTGACAACTTTAAAAAGGCTTAATTCATTTAAAAATGAAATAATGATTTATAATTAAAACCTGACTTTCTTACTGTATAATGCTATGATTCTCTGGGGTGGGGTGAATGATAGTTATGGGGTACATTGATCTGCAGTTGGTCTTCCACACCCAATGACCGTATGGATTTTTAGTCCCAGAGCCTCATGAAGTAACTGAAAAATGCCAAGGGTACCTAGCCAGAATTAGCTGTTCAATGTGCTCTGTTTCTGAATTTTTAATCTTCTATGCCATACTGTTTTGCTTTGGAGCTGATGTATATCTTTGAGATTTGTGGACTGCTTTTCCCTACCCTTGCCCTGAGAACTTTTAATATTTCTTCATGTGTTCAGAGATTGAAGACTGAAACAAAGGCACTAAAAATGCCAACAATGCCTCGGTACCAGACGGGAAGTGTCTCCAGGCTGGTGGGCACATCCAATCCCAACTCATAAATCTTATTTTGCTTTTCATGAATCTCAGCATCATGAATTTTCCCCAGAGCACTGATAGATCAGTATGTTCATTAAAAACAAACAAATAAACAGAACAACAACAGCAGTAGCAGCCCAAGCCTCCACAACAAAGGGCTTAATGAAGCTTTGTTTCCTTTTCAAAGATGCATTACCTTATGTTTATAATTCAGGGTGGTTTCCAGATATATTCACCACCAAAGGAATGAAATTTAAAAAAAGCAATTGAACACCATTCAATTGCTTGATGTAGCTTCTTCTTCCTCAATGAGGTGACTCTGAGAAAACCTGCCTCTCCAATGGATGTTGAAACTTTCAAAGAAATCAGTTTCTCTCTGCACCCCCATGGCCCATGGATGGAGCCAGGACTTCTCATTGGGCATAACAGGCACATTTGCCTTGATTCAGATTCAGGCAGACTCTGCTTTGGCTGGGGAGTTGTACTCGGCTGACATTTAAGGCAGGAATTCCCTGGGAAAATAGTCAAGAGATTCTTTTGGTGTTGTTGGCGAGGCTCCACAGGGTTTAGGGTTCCCCTCTCCAGCAAATAGGGAGAGGAAAAGAGAGGGAGGGAAAGAGAAACAGAAGGACTTTATTGAGGGACTGTATTTCATCTGAAGCTTGTACAAAATGGCAGTAATGTGGTTGGATGCCTGGATACTTTTCTTAAGCCTTATCTCTTACCCAGCTAATATGACCATTTGGAGTTTGGTGAGGTGTTTTAAAGGCTGCTTAGACATCCACAGTGGAAAAAAATCAGTTCTCTAGGAAGCAAAGAAATTTGGAAACTTGTGGGGCTAGATCAAAATGTTTGAAATGAGCAATCATTGAAATGTAGTAGTAATCGTTCCAAATTTAGGTTATATTTGAACATCTAAAGAGCTACACCATCATCTTGGTGTTCATTACCACCCAAGGTGATCATTACAGAAAGGTTGAGAACCCGCATATTTTAACAAACTAACAAAGATATTCCCAGTTTCAAGGAAAAAGCATAAGAAGTTAGACTAAAAAACTAGATGGTTTAAAAAAAAAATGCTTTTGGACCAATGTTAGAAACGGAACATTTTATGAAGAGTAGAAGTGGTCATTACCTATGAGCCCCCCAAAATATAACTGATCTGCAACAGGCGAGTTATGTAGGAAGATCCTCTGATGACTCTTCTAATAATACAGACAGAACTTTCTCTTGCTTCTTTCCTAAATGATTACCCATCCTTCTCTTTAAATTCTGTTGTTGTTCTTTTTTTCATTTCCCCACATTCACACCATCACAAAAGCCCATCTGCGTTCATAGGATCTGGGAGCAGTCAAGTCTGAAGTGAAGTCATGGGGTGTCCCTATTCTATTAAATCTCTTTTCCATAATTTCGATTGATGTATTACAGTTGTACATAATGGTTATTCCCTATTAAATTTCATACAGTGGTGATGTCAACATTGGTAAAATGACAGTCATGATCTTTGTGACACATCATCGTACAGTGGAAGGAGAAGGGTAGGACATGGACATCTTGATCCATTCCTTAGCTATTATTGACTGGGGGGCCCTGGAACACTCTGAGCCCTGTTTTCATTCTATGAAACGGAACAGGTAATTATCTCTACATTGTGCTTTTTCAAATCTATGGGAAATTTGTGATTCCCTCCTTACCCCATTCTGGTTTTGGACCACCTACCTGTAGGCTTCTCTGGTTCCCAAATTCCAGCATAGAATTATTCCCAGGATGCTGCACTCACTAGTTTACTTGTCTAACTCCATTGCTAGCTTGTAAGGGTTTTGAAAATAGGGGATGCCTCCTTAGTAATTGTAGTAGTTAATTAGTCTTAGTAATTAGTATCTATATCCCTAGCACCTACCACAGATCCAAGACACATTGCAAAGACTAGAAAGTATGTGCAGTTGGAAAAAAAAGTGATTGTGGCTCAAATACAAATAAGGTAGTATTAGCAGGAGTACTTTACAACCATAATTAATAAATCTAAGTAATGATGATGCTGACGCTCATGATAAAAAAAGGCATTTGATTATAAATGA